GATTATATTTATTTCAAGGTATTAATTTCATAATTTTCTACAGCAAGTTGAACGCAGAAATGGCTGGATAAATGTGGGTGATCTACAGGGTGCTGTACACTTCAAAATAGTCAAATATGAAAGGATAAAGTTCCTTGTTATTGCCTTAAAAGACAGTATTGAAATTTATGCGTGGGCTCCAAAACCCTATCACAAATTCATGGCATTCAAATCGTTCAGTGACCTGACTTATCGACCGCTATTAGTAGATCTGACAGTGGAAGAAGGAACGAGGCTAAAGGTGATCTACGGAAGTTGTGATGGTTTCCATGCTGTCGATTTAGATTCTGCCAGTGTTTATGATATTTACTTACCCAAAATCGTAAGTACATTTCAATTTATTATTATTGCTTTCCTTCAGAAAACAGAATCATTTTTAAGAAATTATGCAAAGGAATATTTGAAGAGAAGTGCCAACATAACACTAAATATTACTTTCATTAAGTATGCCAGTGTTATGGATTTAGTTACTGTGGTATCATTTTGAAAAAATGATTCAAATTTTTTGGAGTCACTGTTAGCAGATAAATTAGTTTTTTTGTTTTCAAATATATGAAAAACAATTTTTTGGCTTTCTACTTCTCCACCATCAAACAGATATGTGGTAAACTTCCAAAAAAAGGAAGAAAAAATTAACATCAAATCCACATTTGACTAGATATCGTCAAAATGTACCAGCTGAATTGATGAGCTGATGGGACTGCTGCCATGATGCTCCATGTGTGACTTGTAGTCGACTCCTCTGACACCAGAAGTAAAAAATAGTGGACAAACTCTTGACTCAATGTATGCTATTGTTGTATATCCAAAACATTCCTCATGTATTCAGTTTTTAAAATACTGGAAAAGTACAGCGTCTTGAAAGTGGTTAAAAATATATTCAAGGAGAAGTTACCAAAACAAGCTGGATGATAAATTTCAATTCTGCAGTTGAGTAAAGATTACTTAGGGATGACTCTGAAACTTTTTATATTAAAAAAATGTTTCAAATGGAATGGATGAAGAAAGAAGACGGGGAGGAAGACGCCAACTTAGTTGTTGAAACGTACGTCAAGAAGAGTGTTGCAGTTTTGGTGTCAGGAGAATTGTTCGTGCTGGAACATTAATTATGATCATTTGATGTTAATTCTTCAAAAGTAGTTGCTCACTTGTTCATCATGATTAGGTAGTTTTAATCAAAATAGGAGAATGAAAAAGTGCAATAACAGTATAATCGAGATGTTTACTGAGATGGTTAATCAAGAATGAAAGTTGTTCTTGGTAAATCTTTAGACCTGTGTTGTAAATATTTTATTGAATCATCATCCTCTATAAATGTTAGTTATATTATATATATGCCTTGAAACAGTTTTGACATTTTGAACCTGTCAAAGTCTTAACAACCAAATCTACTTCTGAAGAAAAATGGACTTCAAGGAAATTAACATTAAAACTATTCATAAAATACATTTTTCAAAAATATATCATGAAGAAATTCAAGATAATATCATCTATTCTATTCGAGAAGAAATCTTGGAAAAAGTAATGATTGAAGTTGATGCTATTACACTGAAACAAAAAGTAGATGAGTTGGTTGTTGACGTAGCTTTGGAAGCACTTTCAAAAATGATTTCTTTAGAGTTTTACTACCATAATGCCTCTCCAGATCCACTTGGTGAAAATTGGAATTGCGATAAACCAATCTCTCCCTCACCTCCCGATATTTTGAATGCAAGAAGAGTTACTTTACATTCTAAACAAGAAAAATTTGATGAAGAAAAAACATCTAAAAGCCTAGTAATTGTTTGTGAATGTGATCTTGGTGTGAAGTGTAATTGCTTACTAACTCCTATGAAACAAATTGAAGATCAAATGAGGAAAATTGATGAGAGTGTTGAAAACTTGGTAATCAGTGATCAAATGGTAGAAGAAAAAGAAAGCACTGCATCTGTTCAAACTTCTGATACTAGCAGTAAAAGTGAAAAAGTCTCTGTTGGGTATGCAAAAAGTGTATCTATTAAATCTGACCAGAGCAAAAGTATAAATGAATGGTTGTTTTCTGGGCAGCAAGACCATTCTAAAACTATGATTGGAAAGCAGTCTTCACAATTACCTAAAATTGAAATGTCTCAGCCAGTTAAAATTGTTTCCATTTCAAAGATTATGGAGCTTCCTCCAATTAGAATAGATGCAATGTTTGGTTCAAAACCAAAGGAAGCAAATCTCAAAAAAAAAAAGCGGAACTAATGTACCAACTCAGTTGACTGAAAAAAGACACATTTCAATAATATATGATAATATGTCTTTTATCTATTATACCCAATCAAAAAACATTAGTAAATATAAAAGTTGAAAGTTGATTTTCCTGAATTTTTAATGTGGGCCATTGTTTCATTCCGGTAAACGTTTGATTTCAAAAAGACATTATCAAATCTTTTTCATAATTGCTTTATCATCAGAAAACATACAGGGTGAATTATGAGTTTGTGGAATTTGGTCCAGAAGTCTTCTCTCGAGATATTCTTCTATTCAACTCGAAATATTCCTTCACAGAGTGTTTACAGACAACTAGTCAATTCTGTTGTTTTATAATTAATATCTTCTTTTTTTATTTAATGGAATACCTCTTAATTTGGGGCTCACGAAATTATTGTGATACTGTTCTCAATTCTTTTTTTCATATCCTGAGAAGTGGTAGGTGAAGTAGAATATACAATATTTTCCATGTTACCACCATAAAAATAATTCTATGGTGGTTAAATCTGCTGACCTTGCTGGCCAGTTATGATGAAACTTTTTATCCAAGTGTTTTCTTATGGATCCTTGGAAATGAGCAAGAGCATCATATAATTGTAAATACCTATATTATAGAGGAACTTCGCAGATTTCCGTAATATCATGTTTTAAAAACCTCCAGAAATTTTGTTCCATGTAGAATTTCTTCAAAGAAATAAGACCCAAATATATGATCACCAATAATTCCACCGAAAAAATTTACGCTCCATCGGTTTAAATCAATGGTATGATAGACATGCCTATTTTCTGAAAATGAAATATAGAATGTCCAGTCTTGGGGTCTTGTCCCTCTTGTTTTGGGTTATCAATAGAACTAGATCAAACATTGATTTTTCCAAAAATATAGCAATATTTCGATACCTACCGCATTTAGGTATGTATAACCCTCAGAGTAATAATAAGAAATAGAGTTGCCATGCCTGTACGGTGCCTATACCAATATGATACATGTGTTTTGAAACGGGTATCCTACTATCCTTTTCTGTACAACTGTTGGGCAAGGGGAGTGACGGGGAATAAGAGGTTATGGAGAGTTTGTTTACATTTGGAGTAAGTGTGACCATAAAACAGTGGCGGTTGGTTCAGTTGATAATCGGAGGGATATTATATATTTATAAAGTAAATCATTTCAGGTGAAAACGTATCCTGTTCAAATAGTTTCTACAGGAAATTTGATTTATTATTTATTAATGATAATGGAAATGAAGCCAGTTTTTCTACCATCTAATAGATTTTTATTTATGTATGGCTTTATAATAAAGTGCGAGGTTTACTGGGTTAAAATTGAACTAAAGTTGAACTAATTCATAACAATGATAAATGTTAATTTCAAAAGTAATGAACTTTGCTTCATAAAATCAGATGAAAAAATTTGTGATTTATTCTCAGATTTGATAAACAAGCGGTACGGTTTGTGAGGTCCGATATAAAGAATTTTTGATTAGAAATCATGAATATTTATAATTACGATTGAGGTTTGATATTATTATGTGATTTCATTCAAAATTGGTATCTAGGGGTCTTCGTGGACCGATATTGTTTTTTTTTTCAATAATTCATGCTGACGAATTCTATAATTACGAAAAATCATTAATGTAAATAAAAAAAAATTGTATTCAAAAATGAAAAATATGTTTTTCATATGTGTGCTATAGGTTATATTCATTCTGTGATCAACAAATTAAAAAGCTTTCTGCTCAGTGTTCAGTTTGTAAACTAAATAGTTATTCTTGTGTAACCAGTGTTATATCTGTTATTGCTCACTTAACAACTAACTTAGTCACACAAAGAATATGATCTCCGTTTTGGTTTTTCTTTCTTTGCACGAGACTTTCGAGTTGCATACAGACAATATTCAATTAGAAATGACGGTTGTCATTTTTTTTAACTTCTTCTTAGTTGGGATATGTCAAATAATGAAATAATGTAAACGTAGTTTAAAAAACTTCATTTATAAGAATAAGATCAAAAAAACGATCATTACAAACATCAAAAATATCCACTTTCATAATCTCGGTCCACAAAGAACCCTAGATATCAATTTTGAATGAAATCACAGAATAATACCAAACCTCAATCGCAATTATAAATATACATGATTTCTAATCGACAATTCTTTATATCGGACCTCACAAACCGTACCGCTTGTTTATCAAATCTGAGAATAAATCATAAATTTCTTCATCTGATTTTATGAAGCAAAGTTCATTACTTTTGAAATTAACATTTATCATTGTTATGAATTAGTTCATTTGAAATAATTTTATTTCAACCCAGTAAACCATGCGCTTTATTATAAAGCCATACATAAATCAAAATCTAGTAGGTGGTAGAAAAACTGGCCCCATTTCCATAATCATCAACAATAAATCAGATTTTCCTGTAGGAACTATTTGAACAGAATACATTTTCACCTGAAATGATTTATTTTATAAAAATATAATGTCCCTCCGGTTATCAACTAAACCGACCGCCACTGTTTTATGGTCCAACTTATTTCCCGTAAACAAACAAAGTTATGCTCCCTTCAATGTAAGGATGGAAAAGGTCTCTCTATTGTCTTTTGTTACTCTGAGGTATAACCGTAATGAAAGTTCTCTCAGAAATCTTGATAGAATTCGAAAATTCCAAAATTTCCAAATGCATTTATAAAATGAATCATTCAAAAATTCCAAAATTTTCAAATGAAAAATCATTAAAATGTTTTGTCTAGCTTCCAAGGAAATACTCATTACTTGTGACTCACCCTGTATATTGTATAACCATTTGATGTTTTTTGGAGAGAATACAATACAAATAGTCACAATGTATTTTTCTTGCAGCCTCAAAATGCAATTAGTCCACACTGTATAGTTACTTTACCAAATAGTAATGGTATGCAGCTTTTACTGTGTTACGACAATGAAGGTGTTTATGTTAATACATATGGAAGGATATCAAAGAACATGTTACTTCAGGTAAGTAAAATTAAAATTAAATTCACAGTACACTTTTGGAAAGTTTATCGGTGTATGCAGGTGTATTTTAAAAATATCAATATGTCAAAAAATTGTTTTTTTTTTCTTTAAAAAATCTTTCGTTTTCTTCCTTCGCTACTTGCCTGGAAAAAAAGTGTTTTCCTCTTTATTTTTGAAACAAAGAATTGAAGTGAAGTTACATTTAGGACTACAAGTAGGCCAATTTTTGAGATCATGATATCTACTATGCAACTGAGAAATAAATATTTGAAAAATGAATATTTTGCATAAATGTTATTTTTTCCAATTTTTTCTGGAGGTATACAAAAAAAATTTAGTTCAGAAAAGTATGTGAATATAATTTTTCCCAATTGTGATACAACGTGCAAAAACGCTAAAGGGCTACATAATTTTTTTTAACAATATTTCAAACTATAATTATTTTAGAATGAACAGGTGAAACTGTCGATTATAGATAGTCAACAGTTTGAATTGTCCATTATAGATAAATGATATTTTAAACTATTGATTAAAGTTAACCTAATAAACAGTTATAACTATCACCTTACAATGCCTTCGAATAACTGCACTTTACCGCACCGGTTTAAGCGAGTTCCAGTCCTTTAACATTGAAATTTTCATTTTTTAAAAGGCATACTCGAACATTTCTTCCAAGTTTTGATAAAAATGACATTTAGTCAAGAAAACGAACACACCAAAATGCATTGAAATAGACATTGTATCATAATAAGTTTTAAGCCAAGAATATAATAAGACGATAGGTAGAATTTGAAACCTCTGGCGTAAAGTTAACCTAATGAAAACGCTATTTCTGCACCAGTACAAAAATACTGTCTCCTGACACGAATTTCTTTAACCAAGTTAGTATCATCAGTATATGGCTAAGACTATTATCACTGTGAAAGCAGCCACAACTTCTAGCCATGGATTTCTCGAAGCGTCGCGCGAGATCCGACAATCCGACAAAATTGGGATCAAATTTGTGGTCAGCAATGACTTTACTCAATGACCTCAAAGAAACATCCATAATTCCTTCATATGGGCATACAGAACATATGTTGAAATATTTTGCCAAGACAAATCCATAATTTCTTCAAATATTCCATAGATGGGGATTTTTTCTTTGAATGTATTCAATTTGGCATATACAATGAGTCGTCCCATATGTTGAAATATTTTGCCGGGTAGGAAAACAAATCCCACACACCCTTATATGCTTTTAAAATGAAATTCAATGACTCCATCAAAAAATTCATGGATGGAGATTTTTTTGCATGATTACAATCTATACATGGATGTGTAGATCATGCAAAGAAGTAACTTTCAGACACAAACTGGAAGAAAGTCTTCCTGAAACAGCTACTTTCATATAAACATTGAATTACACGAAAGAAAAAAAAATTCTTTCGAAACAAATACTTCTATATGAACACTTAATTATACAGAAGATACTTTTCTTTACTCAGTTTGTATTTCAAACATTCGTTGTGGAATAAAAATCAGATATCATTCACATGAGTTCTACTTTAAATGAATGGTAACAAATTGAACTTACATGGAAAAACTGTCATCCTCACTGTGAGATGAGATTCACTCATGAGATTCCCTCATCCTTTTTTTGTATCAAGATGGAGTAGTAGAAAGCCAAAAACTTTCTTTCCCAAAAATTAATCACTCCTAAAAATATAACCCCTTCAATATATTTGTACTAGTACACGAACATATTTTTCAATGTACATTGTCCTTGAACCACGCATTAGCCAAATTTTCTTCAACACTAACAAATAAGCATCTTGTAAGTCAGTTGTTGGCACTGTTCTTTGTTGAAGATCAACGTTGGCGCGCGGCGAGCGCCACTTCGTTCGTTGCGTAGCAACGGCGAGCCAAAGTTACACTACACGTCGCTTTTCAGTGATTTCTGTTTAACTTCCCTCCCCCCCCCCCTCATACAAGCCTTACGTGATTAAAATAAAATTTAATAATAATTGAATAGAACTGGCCCATTCTATTGAATTTCATTTTTCAAGCATGTGAGGGTGTTGTTTTTCTGCCCAGCAAAATATTCTGAGATATAGGTCTCATTCAGCACTTTCCATAGTAATGTAATCATGTAAAAAAAGTCCCCGTCCACTAATATTTTCATGAAGGTATTGAATTTCTTCTAATAACTTTAACTGTTATAATATAATAAGTGTTATCATAGTTTTGGTTGTGAAGATTTAAAGCTGCTTTATTAATTTCATCTGAACCCGCGGTTAGGTTTCTGATTTGATTATATATGTTACCTGAATAATTGTTTTTCAAATATTCTGCCATGTCTTACTTTTATTTTGGAAGGTCTTCACGTTGTTTCATAATTATTTTATTTTTATTATATATCTCCATATCTTCATATATGATTTCGAAAATTTTCTTGTTGATATAGAAGTTATGGAACAACTAACTGACTTACTTACCTTTGTTGAAATTACCTAATTACTTAACCATATACCAAATGAACTAGAAATGATAAAAAAGTGTTATGTCTTGGATATTCAGCACTTTAAACCAACCTACACTTTCCTTGTGTAAATAACCTTCGTGGAAATTCATTGAATTTGTTTATGTGTGGTGGTTGTTTTTTCTGCCCTGCATAATATTCTGAGATATAGGTCTCATTCAGCACCTTTCATAGTGATGTAATGCAAAAAAATTCCCATCCACGAATATTTTGATGGAGTCATCGAATTTTATCCCAAAAGCATATAAGGGTGAGTGGGGATTGTTTTTCTGTCCGGCAAAATAATCTGAGATATAGGTCTCATTCATCACCTTTCATAGTAATGTAATCTTGCAAAAAATCCCCATCCACGAATATTTTGATGGATTTATTGAATTTTATTTTGAAAGTATTTACGTGTGGGAGTTGTTTTTCCGACCGGCAAAACATTCTGAGATATAAGTCTCATTCAGCACCTTTCATAGTGATGTAATCTTCCAAAAAAAATCCCCGTCCACTAGTATTTTGATGGAGTAATTGAATTTTATTTTAAACGCATATAAGGGTGTGTGGGTTGTTTATCTGCCCGGCAAAATATTCTGAGATATAGGCCTCATTCAGCATCTTTCATAGTAATGTAATCATGCATAAAAATCCCCGTCTACTAATAATTTGATGGAGTAATTGAATTTTAATTTTAAAGGGGGGTGTGGGGGTTGTTTTTTTTTGCCCGGCAAAATATTCTGAGATAGAGGTGTCATTCAGCACATTTCATAGTAATGTAATCATGTAAAAAAAGTCCCAGTCCACTAATATTTTCATGGAGGTATTGAATTTCACTTTGAAAGCGTGTAAGGGTGTGCGGGGGTTGCCGACAAAGTAATCTGAGATATAGGTCTAATTCAGCTCCTCTCATCTACATAATTCAGAGGACGGCATCCTAGAGTATGAATGTTTATATACAGGGTTAATCAAGATGTTGAAGAAAAAGACATTCAAGAATACTTACAGGAAAAGACTAATCAAAACGCACAGGATTTTACAGTAACTCTCCTAAAAGAACAAAACGGATTCAAGAGTTT